GGAGCTGGCGCCGGGGGAGGCCGCGGGCGGTGGGGAGGACGGGAGGGCGGCCAGGGACTGCGGGGATGGGCGGCGGGGGGCTTCCCCCGGAGCGCTGCCAGGCACCCCGGAGACGGAGGCAGCGAATCCCGCGGCTGCGCCCCCAGGCCTCTCCCCTCCGGCGGGGACAGGGCGGCAGGCAGCGGGGGTAGGCTTCCAGGGAGCCCTTCCTGAAGGGGATGGGGGGAAATGGAGACCCCCAGGAGCAACCTCCGCTGGTAAAGTATGCGTTTTGAGGCTGACCGTGGAGCTTTTGAGCATGGTGCTCACTGAGGGGCTGTGTGCTTATTTTACATAGTCAAAGAAAGCCTGTTTTACCTCATAGGTATTAATGGAGCACCTCTCCTACAAAGACAGGCTGAAAGACTTGGGGTTGTTCAGCCTGGAGAAGAGAAGGCTCCAGGGAGACCTTATAGCAGCCTTCCAGTACCTAAAGGCCACCTACAAGACGGCTGGAGAGGGACTTTTTACAAGGGTGTGTAGTGATAGGACGAGGGGGAATGGCTTCAAACTGGAAGAGTGGAGATTTAGATTAGATATCAGGAAAAAAAATTTCACTATGAGGGTGGTGAGGCACTGGAACAGGTTGCCCAGGGGAGTTGTGGAGGCCCCATCCCTGGAGATGTCCAAGGCCAGGTGGTGGATGGGGCTTTGAGCAACCTGGTCTGGTGGGAGGTGTCCCTGCCCATGGCAGGGGGGTTGGAACTAGATGATCTTGAAGGTCCCTTCCAACCTAAACCATTCTAGGGTTCTATGAATTAGAGGGTTATAAAGTGTTTAACAGTCACAATATTTGCCTTGAGTACACAGTCACAGCACAACCTGTAGCACTGTGGGTAACACCGACAGGACAGACAAGCAAACAGAATTTATTCCCTTCCAGCTGATGCTGTAGGGTGTTCTTGGGCTTATGTGTTGCGGCTGAACTAATCTCCTTTTGCCTTCAGAGCAAGGGATCCTGCTCCCCTGCGTGGAGACCTGCCCCGCAGGCTGCGCTGTCTTCACCTCTTTCCGGATCATGCTCTGGTGCTCATTGCACAATGAGGTGATTCAAGTCACTAATCTGTTGGAAAACAATTTCTTTTTTATTGCTGAATTTGTCTTCTGCCAGATTAGTGACCTGAATTGACTTGCTCTACAGTAAAAGGGAACCAGTGAAGGGGAAGAGGGGGAGTGGGAATGCACAGGTGGCAGGACAAAGAGGTGCACCTAGGTTGGTAAGAGCAGAATCTCCTCTCTAAGAAGCAGCAAAAGTCATACCAGATCACCACATTATATGACAGCACCTTTATAAAGAGCTGAGCAGGGAATTTTCTGTTGCATGATGATCCGGGGACCAAGACCTGCACAGCAGGGAGTTGTGTTCTGCCTCCCCAGCGTGCTAGCTTTCAAAGCTGTTTGTGCCATCATCAAGCATTTTGCAGGGCTGTATTGTTTTTGTCAGCTTATTCCCAGTCTGTACGTCAATCCTGAATTGATTCAAGGCTGTTTTTAAGCCATCCTGTATGGATGGCAGTTATCGATAGAAGAAAGCACTATAGCACACATTACATTTATTACTCTGAAACTTTAAGAGGAATGTAAACAGCACATCAGTTTTATGCAAACCTGTGCTGACTGAAGTTTTAACTATTTACTTGCTACTTCGAGAACTTGTACTTTGCACTTCAGTAAGAAAGCATCCCACTTACTTAGTGGGATCACTCTTTTTAGTCATAAAAGAAATGAAATAGTAATTTCCGTATTTTTTATACTGCCTTTTGCTTTCTAATATCCCATGGTTACAATGAAGATTCAAAGAAAAAGTGGCTTTTCATGATCACTTTAAAAGGTCAGAAATATCACTTCCAACTTAAATGTGAACCCACTGAAATACAGCACTGCTGGCACACTCAGCTGCTCGAGCAGTAGTCACTCTCAGTACAAAATACTTTAAAATGTCACTCATTTTAGTAGTTACAAATGTCAGGACGCGTTGCCCAGTAGACTAAAGGAGCCTAGGAGGCATGTGTCTGAGCCAAAAGGGAAAGCTCTCTTATGCTCCCAGCCTGTCCCAGCACGGAGTAGTTACTGACTCACCCAAGAACAGATCACTTCTGAAACTAGATCACTACTCATTTAGTTATTGCTGGGATTTTTACCACTTGCGTTAAATAAAACTGTTACGACATCCGTTGTGCTGGGAGACTAATAAAAGCTTTGACATTTCGGGAAAACAAAAGTACACTGAAAGCATTACTAGCGCATAAGTTTTGCAAATTTAATTAAGGACTGAAGAAAAGGGAGTGCACAAGATTGGGAGAAAAAGGAGAGGATGAAGGAAACAAAAATGGAAGGAAAGCATTAGTTGATGGGTAGTTTACCAGGAAACTTGCAAAAGGAGACAGTCAAAAAGGAACAGGCATTCACCTCCTGTTCCGTTTCAGTGAGATGCTGAATTCCTCAAGGTCAACTGAGAACCCAGCCTGAACTTTGTTGAATCTATACATTCTGCAGGTCAGTGATCCTTGCTTCCCTGTATTTTTATATACTCTGATACCATTAATTATTATGCCTCTGGTACATTTTGTAAACATTTTAATCATTAGTCTAATACACAAAACACTATTATTGTACCTTGCTTTTGCACCTCTATGGTTCACTAGTCCCATTGGGAGGTAACCCCTGCTCTGATTTACGCAGAGTGCAACTCATATTTAGGAATTCGGGTAATTTAAACTTCTTCCCAGCAGCACACGCAAATGACTGCAAGTACCAACAAGAGCTGCATTCTTGTAGCTGCCATCATATCCCTGAAGACTCTTACATACCCTTTATGAGATTCAGCAAAATGTCTTGTCAGGGAGCTGACTCACCACGGAGTTCTCTGCCTGGTGAGACTGCACAGTGAACAGACCCTTTACCGATTTCTTTTAGTTTACCAAATACAACAGAATAAACAAATGAAAAATAGCTCAAGGACAGGTCTATGAGAAACTAGGTAAACTAGACGATAGTGAAGAGAGGCGGTAGAAATTAAGGCATCAGTGTTTTTTTTCTAATCTCTAAAATAGTACTAACTACTGATGTTAAATGTATTTACTGATGAAATATTTGAGGTTTTCACGTAATATGTATGAAATACACTTCACAATATATGACTCTCTCAGGCTTCATTTTACAGTGCCTTGTGCCAGATGTTGGTAACAGCGTCTCATGAATGCAAACTGCATATAAAATACTGAGTTTCTGTGGGTTATATGATTTACGTTCGCTATCAACCAAGTGGGAGTCACAAGAGCAATATAAAATCGGGCTACGGATTGCTTCAACAGGACGGGGAATTCATTGCCCTGCCCTGGCTACGTTAAAACCCATTATGATGTTGGCCGCTCTTACCGTAGAAGGGGTTTTGCTAACAGCCGCAATCTCTCTGCGAATAAACCCCTTTTTTATCTTCACACCCACCGAGGACTCGCAGACCCAGGTTGTTCCCTCTCTCTGTGCCTCAGCAGCTGCGGCGGAGGCGGCTCGGTTTGAGCAGGGCGCGTTGGCCATTTCATACCGAGCAGTAATTAATAACATAATTACTATGCGGGTAATTCTCTTATTACGCCAAGTGCTTTCAAAGGCTGCTATCAGCTATAAGCGGTAACGCTGTTCTGCAACGCCGGGTTCGCGATCTTCCAGCGGCGGCGGTGCCG